ACTACCTCGTTACTACATCGTTACTGCATTATCACTGCATCGTTACTGCATCGTTACTACCTCGTTACTACCTCGTTACTACATCATTACTACCTCGTTACTACATCGTTACTGCATTATCACTGCATCGTTACTGCATCGTTACTACCTCGTTACTACCTCGTTACTACATCATTACTACCTCGTTACTACATCGTTACTGCATTATCACTGCATCGTTACTACCTCGTTACTCCATCATTACTGCATTATCACTGCATTGTTACTACCTCGTTACTACATCATTACTGCATTATCACTGCATCGTTACTACCTCGTTACTACATCGTTACTACCTCGTTACTACATCATTACTGCATCGTTACTCCCTCTTTACTCCATCGTTACTGCCTCGTTACTACATCATTAATGCATTATCACTGCATCGTTACTACCTCGTTACTCCATCGTTACTACCTCGTTACTACTTGAATCAGAAATGGCTAAAGTCATCTTCTAGTGACATTTCTGAAATATTTGTGTACAAAAGGAATAGCAAAAGTTGACAGTTAGTTTTGGTACGAGTTTTACTGCACTTGCAACACAATTTGATCATTGTACGAGTGCCTAAGAATTGAGATGTTACTAGCTAGTAAAATACAAAGAAAAGAAGGAGCGATAAGGACGACAGATGTTTGATAGAGAAGAAGGAGCAAAATACTTCAGAGCACCCACCAACCACCCACAGCAGTTGTTCTTATGAACAGATGAAAGAAAGGCAGTAATCCTCCATATTTTCCCGCCATTTATGCCAATGTCCCCTCCAGGTTTTCCCATTCGTCGTACATCGCCTGCGACTTACCTGTGCCACATCTGGCGTCTGCTCCTTCACAAACAAATCCTCCAGCTCCTCCTCCTCCTCCTCCCTCATAGCTTCCTCCCGGGATGTCGTTCCCCTGTCTTGCAAGTCGATGCTCATGCGAGCCTCGATGTTCGTCTGTGCGGGTAGCGCTGAGCCAATCAGCTGGTGGTCTGACTCGGTCCAGACTGTGTCCATCATCTCCACACCAGTCTCCGTACTCTCCCCCGACAAATGTCTCGGCACGGACGCTGAGGTCTCTTCGGAAACATCCTCCCCAGTTGAAGTGGCTATTGGCAAAGAAGTTCCTTTTCCTTCTTCGGGGTGGTTGGACGAAGTTGGAGAGAATGGTTTGATATCCTGGTCCATTGCCGCAATGTTTGAGGCCACTTCACCAGCCAAGATAGCAATGGCGTTAGCGTCTGCTTCCATCTCCTCTCCGTCCTGACCTTCACCCTGAGCAGCCCTCGATGACGTATCGTTCTCGCTGAAGCTCGTGCGACTGTTTCCATACGGAGACGCTGAAGCCGGATTGCTAGAAGAAGAAGAAGAAGAGGAAGGGCTGTGGTTTAGAGTAGCGAGACGGCCGAGGCCCACCTGAAGAGAGTCTGCCGTAGGTCCGGGGTGAGAGAGGGGGGACGTTGAGCCCTGTGACTGGGGCGGAGAGAGAGTAGCCGAGGGTGAAGCGGACACATCATGGAAGTGGGGTACACGTGGGGTGGAAGGGGACGCCAGTCCAGGGCTGTTGGTTGTCACGGTGACCGGTGAGTGAGGGTGGTAAGTGGAGGAGGCAGAGTATTCCCACCGCTTGGAGGAGGAGGAGGGGGAGGGGGAGGGGGAAGAAGTGGCCTGAGCTGAGAGCGCAGACGAAGAAAGCAATGTCGTTGTTGCAGCGACAGGTACTGTCGGGGTGGTGGTGGTGGATGATGTCGTTGTACCGGCAGTGCCAGAGTTGTTCTCCACCTCCCCCTCCTTCACCTCAACTCCCTCTCCCTCCTCCTCTCCCTCCCCACTCACGAGCCCGGCAAAAGATGATCGGATCTGCGGAGGGTTGCGACCACTGCTAATGGCCTCAGCCTCCTGGCCCATGGTCTCCACGGCCCGCTCCATGCGGCGCACCAGCTGATGCAACATGTCCGCCCTCTCGTTGGACGAGTTCTCCGGGATGGGGCTGAGCTCGCTGTAGCCGGGGCCTCGACGAACCAATCGGCCGCTGTCAGGGGCCGTGAGGAGGGGCTGAGGGAGACTGCCGGGGGTAGACAGAAGACCTCGCAGGGGGAGGCTCCGCAGCAGCTCAGCCGGGGGGAGGCAGTGAGAGGATGGTTGGGAGGAGGAGGAGGAGGTAGAGGCACTTCCCTCCTTCCTCTCTCCTGGGGCAGACTCCTCCTCCTCCTCCTCCTCCTCCTCGATGGACTCCTGATGGATGGCGGGGTCACAGAACGTGGTCACACGGCGCGCCTCGTGGCGCTTGGGCGACATGGGGATGTCTGTGGGCATACGATCTTCCGAGCTGGTGGACGACCTCAGAGAGTGACCTTGACCTGTGCAATACGTTTTGTTTTGTTTTAGTAAGAGTTTTACGTCACTTGCAATGCAATAAGGTCATATAAGTGCCGAAGATTAGAGGTGTTACAAGAGAGTAACAAACACACAAAAAAAAAGAGAGGAGATGAAGACGATAGAAGTTTGATAGGAAAGAAGAAGCAAACCACACCAGAGCACCCACCAACCACCCACGGAATAAGTTTAGTAACAGCAACAGTTTTATGGCACTTGCAACCCAAATAGCTCAGATGAGCTCACAAGAATAAAGGTGTCACTACAGATTAAGAGATTAACATACACACAAATGAAGGAGGAGAGATAAAGAAGACAGAAGTTCAGTTGGAAAGAAGGGGCAAACCACATCAGAGCACCTGCCAACCCCCCACCTGTGAAATAATAACATGTGGACAGAAAGCACAAAAACAGTTTTCAACACACGGATGGGAAATTGATTTATTTTGACTTTACTTGACATGAAAATAAGCACATCAAAAACAGAAGTTGTGAAAGTGAGCCATGGTCATAGTCCCCTGGACATCCATGTCAATAGTAAACAACTGAAACAGGAGAAGGAGTTGAAATATCTAGGCCGGAACACACACCCTTCAGGTCACAAAGACACACACTCACCTGAGAAAGGCTTGTACAAGGTCTTCAAGCCACAGTGACACACACTTACCTACATACCTGAAACTGACACACACTCACCTGAGAAAGGCTTGTACGACGTCTTGAGGCCACAGTGACACACACTCACCTACACACCTGACACAGACACACACTCACCTACACACCTGACACAGACACACACTCACCTACACACCTGACACCTACACACACTCACCTACACACCTGACACAGACACACACTCACCCGAGAAAGGCTTGTACGAGGTCTTCAAGCCACAGTGACAGGTGGGCAGCATGGTCTGAGCGCGACTCTCCACGCGGTTCTCCACGGGGAAGTGACCGTAGGGCTCCAGGCACAGCTCCAGGCGGTCGTCGTTGCCGTTGTAGACAAAGAGCTGCACACAGACATGACACGGACATGACACAGATGTGACACAGATGTGACACAGACATGACATGGACATGACACAGACATGACACAGATGTGACACAGACATGACACAGTTTTTTAGTAAGAGTATTACGGCACTTGCAACACAATAAGGTCATAGAAGTGTGGAAGATGAGAGGTGTTACAAGAGAGTAACAAACACAAAAAAGATGTCTTGCAACATCTCTCTCTTGCCCTTTTTAACTCCCAGTGGAGCACAGGCCATCAACAACATTTCTCTAGCGAAGCCTGTCCTGTGCATCCTTTTCTGTCTGTTTCCACGATGTCCCCACCTTTTTCATTTCCACTTGCAACATAATAAAGTCATAATATAAGTGCTGGAGAAAAGGTTACGAGTTACAAGAGAGTAACAATCACAAAAAAGAAAGATAAGACCACACCAGAGCACCCTCATCCATTCTCCTACCATTCCCTGTACCTCCCTCCCCCTCCTCATTACACCTCTTCC